TCTGCAATGCTAAATGTTGAATATGAGGCATGCTGCAACAAAACCAGACAAAGCGAACGTTGGTAGTACCAAGGATTTCAGGGATCAAAATTTAGTCATTTGTAATGTGATCATAATTAATATCCCATTTGTTATCTTGAGTGATATATAGAACTATCCCAATATAAAAATAATTAATATGAAACTCATTTACATCAGATCTACTATGGAACCCAAGAATTATAGCACCATTAGAAGTATTTTAAAAAAGGAACAGGGTGAAAAAATTGCACCCTATATTTTCAAAATAAATGATACTCAGGCAATTGAAGCTTATCTAAGAAAAGATTATTTATGAATTTTACCAAGAAGAAAGAAAAATAATAAATGTTAGAAAAAGAAAACAAAATGAAAGTGTACTATTACCTAATAAAAAGCAAAAATCTTTAAAGGAAAATAACTATCATTTTCTCAGATAGTTGAAATTATACAGAAGGAAATAACCAAAAATTAATTTCTTATTTTCAATCAAGATCATTTCTTAGTTTCTTTAATTTCAATTTGTGCAGTTAGTTGACCATTCTGTTGTAATTGTTCTAATTGGTTCTTTAATTTCTCATTCTCTGCCTCATAAGCATTTAACTTATTGACTAACTCTTGAGGAGTTAAAGTTTTCAATTGTTCAATTTTCTGAAAATGCTTTGCTTAGTTAGAATCTTTATTTTCTTCTTCAACAGGTAAAGCAGGCAAAGGTTTGCTGTTTAAGTAATCTAACCTTTCATTCTGTGATTCATATCAGCTAATTGCTTACTTAGTTTTTCTATTTTTTGCTCTTTTGACTTGTCTCTTCCTCTAACTTTTCAACTTGAGCTCTAGATGAGAAATCTTTTCATTAGCACTTTCGAGTTTCTTGTTTTTCTCTTTTATGTCTTCTGCTTGATTTTTGCTTCATTTTTCACCAACTATTAAGATTTTCTTAATTTCTTCATGTTCCATCTCCAACTCTTCTATTCTTGCTTCTAATTCCTCTTGCTTTTCTTTTAACTCTTGATTAGTTTTTTCTAACTCAGCATTCCCTTTTTCTAAAATAGCATTCTTTTCTTTTAATTCCTTATTTTCCTTAAAATAAAGATCAAAAAATGCTCATGATGTCATGCTTATACATGCAGCCCAAATTGGTTTGGTGATTTTGATGGTCAAAATTATTCCAATTTTGATGGTAGAAAGTAGAAATTAATTATGGCATTCACTATTAAAAACATAAGTGTAACACCCCTTTACTACATGTGTAACCCCCTTTATGACAGTGTCAAAATACTTTGGGCTGTATGTATAATCATGCTTTGTTAGCAAAACTTTCAACAACATTCTCAAGAGCAAATTCATTACCTTCCAAATTCAGTCAAATTCCTTTCTGGATAACCTACTCATCCATTTTCAGGTCACTTAAATCTTTGTAATGATAATCGAATAAAGAATATTTATGAATAAATAATAACGAATTAATAATTCAAAGATTCGGTTTACGATCTATTTTTAATTTTGTTATCGTGCCGTAGATGTTACTCATGACACTTTGTGTAACATATCGAGTTCACTATTTCACAATAGACTGTAATTAAATTACAAGCTGTATAACGATTTTTTTTTGGTATGTGCATTAGTCAATAGATTAAATATGTTTGGTTTTATTTGTATGTCAATTCCAAATTTTTACAAGTTTGTAGTTTGAGATAGCAATTAAAAGAGAACAATCCAAACAATTTATTACATGATTCAACATTAATTTTTTATTGTTCAATAGTATTACAAATTGACAAAGAATTATGGATGTTTTCTTATTTAAAATCCAGTCATTTTCTACTATTATTCTTTTGGAAATCCAGTATCATTTTGATCAGCACAACTAGTATTAAAAGTATTTTGGTCTTATTTTACACCAATCTAGGATTTCAATCCAAGTTACTAAACCCTTACTACTGTTGTTACACAATATTGTTCATTATATTCTATTTTCCTATATATTCCAATTAATATAAATGTTATTTTTATAAAAAGAAAAAAATCCTAAAATGACTATTAAAACTGATATCTTACCATATACCATCTAATCCTGTTAATAATCATGGAGATGGTTTCCAGTATTCATGTACCATATGCTTAACTTGTCACATGATCCTTCTACTAATTTAACTTCATCATACTGTAAAGTTTCTATTTCTCTGGAATGCAGAGTCAATATATGTTTACAACTATAATCATTAAAATTAAATAAACTCCAAAGGATGATGAATGATTTTCTAATCTCCAGAGATTTTCTCCATTATCCAAACTCCAAAATTTTGAGATGCCATCTAAACTGGAACTGGTGCATCTTTTAAATTTATTGTTGATTGCAACATAATTAATCGCATTAATGTGTCCTTGTAAGCACACAATACATTTTCTTTCCATAAAATTCCATACTCTTACAATATTGTCATAACCATCATTAACTAATTTGTTTTCAACAGCTGCTATAACTTCCATTGAATCATCATGTTCTTTCAAGTGTGTGAATAAGATACGGATTATTGTCATTTTTATCACAAGATAATAGTATACTAACCAGGGTTGGCAATTAATTGGTCCATTTAAGGCTCCGAACGAAACAAAACAAAACAAATTTGAGAGTGATTCGATTCAATCCAATTCGATCTGTAGTCAATTTGATTCAATTTGTGACTTGTTTTGAATTGATTTGAATTAGTGTTCCATGTCGCAATCCAAAAAAGGAAACCAAAGTGGTCGCAAAGTGGTTGCAACCAGGTGTCGCAAACCATTTTTATATGTCGCAAATATGGTTGCAACCATCACCAAGAATTGCGACCAGCATCTATAATTTGGCCAATATATTAGTTTTCAAATTTTTTCCATTAGATAAAATATTTGATAATATTTATAAGGGCTATATGGGTAATGATTTTAATTTTTAAAATGATGTATATTTTGATTTTTTATTTTTTTATTAATATTTGTTTTATTTTCATAGATATTATTGGGATAATTAAAAAAATTCATAGTCCTTTTAGTATTTTTAAAAGAGCTTTCAATATAAAAGTATTTATCTTTTTATACATATTTTATTAGAAAAAATTTAAATTCATCAATTGATTTTGTTTTTTAAATTTTTTGTAGATTCAAAAATAAGATATAATAATAAGTGATAAAAATGGTAACGAAAAGAGGATAACATTATGGGGAAATCATACAGAACTTGAAGTTGATTCAATTAAATATGTTCGCCTTATAGCAGGGTTGGCAAATTGTTACGTTAATGGACCCAATGGACTACCAATGGACCATCAATGGACCGCACATTTTCCAACCTTGCCTTATAGAGTATCAAAGTTCAAAAATATTTAAAAATATTTAATTTAATATGTATTTATTTGAAAGTGATTAAATTATATTTTTTTCACAGGTGTACTAGGTTTAGCAACATCACCACACACTGTCATACTTGTAGATCCCTCATTACCAGAATCAGATGAATTATGGTATTACCCAAGGAAACTTTATCTGGTAAAACTTTAAGATGTGAACAATAAAGACTAGTGCCGTAAATTATGGTGATGGTAGTAATTGTATAAAAAATGGTTGCAATTACCTTTGCGACCACTTTTGCAACCATACTTTTTCCTTTTTTGGATTACGGCACTAGTTTTTAGTGAACAAGAATCAGATGATATACAACAGTTGAAATGTCAACTCCTTGAAAAAGAAAAACAAATTAAGGTACTTGAGAAAAGTAACAATCAGTGGAATGAAAAATTTCAAAATGCGAAACTCTGCCGAAATTCTAATAAACAATTAATGTGTAACCTGCCGAAACCCTGCTGATTGATTTCTGGTGGAGTTTCGACAAGCAACCTTATTTGGGACATATATGAGCAAAGAAAACAAAGTCAACAACAGAAGTAGGCATTGTTGAATATATTTATTTATGATCAGTTGAATTTTTTCTAAATATTTCTCTTGATAAACAGTGGTTATTTTCACTGACTGACTGATTAGGGTCAAGTTCAGGTAATTTAATATCCATGTTAATTCAACCAACCGCTCTTCCGATAGTAATCTTTCACAAAAATAATCAAAAGAATATTAACAAGAATAATTATTAAAAATAAATCTTTTCCCTTTATTCTGTGATTTGTTTTTTTTAGTATCATTCTTTATCATAATAATGTATTTTTTATTATTATTATTATTAAAATTAATTATGTATATATTATTAATTGTTATTTATTAAATAAGCATTTGCATTCTAATGAATATTGTCATTTGGTCTTTTACTTTTATTGTTTATTAAACAATATAAAAGCCTGTATAGAAGTTTTTTTTTACCTTGATATTGATTTTTTTAAGCTTTTTTTTATTATTTATGCCTAAAAAACAATTTACAATGAAACAAGGATCAAGGCTATTATACTAATTGAAGAAGGATATAATTTTCATGAGACATTGCAAAATAGGACCAAATGTTCATTTCTCAACTATACAAGGACCCAAAAAGAAGGATGAAAAGGTAAGTGAACCAAATTTGTCTTCTAATCAAAGAGATGAAAAGTCAATCATGTGTAAAATTATAACTAATAAGTGTTTTACTGCCATTGATATCTAAAAGCCTTTACAATGAGAAAATCAATTTAGTACTAATACCATTTGAAGAACACTTAGGAAAATGGTTATTGTTGCTAAGTAAATTATTTTTTCCCTAATTTTTAGGTTCCCCGAAAGTATGTATATATATATTAGTATTAAGAGGATATATAATATTTACAAAATTTAATATCAATACATAAAATTCCTTTTTTCCAAGATTGATAAGATATTTGGATGAAAAAATACTACAACAAATATACAATTAATATAAACTATATATATACAACTACATAAAATTCATATATATATATAATATTATAACTGTATAACAATCATATAAAAATCACAAGAGTTGTTCATTTTTATTTTATAAATAACTAACTACTGATAGTGAATCTTCTAACATTGTCTCTCCCGCTATTACTACTACTACCACTATTGCCATTGCCATTACCATTGGTAGTTTGTTGATCAAGCAATTTATTCAATTTTTGTTGAACAATTTCAATTTTCTTATTATATTTTTCAGTACTTTCATTCAATTTTCTTTTCACACGATCAATATCTTCTGGTTTTGCACCCACTTTTATTTTCAGTCTTCTTTCTTCAGCTTTCCAAGTTTCTTGTTCTTTCTTACGGTCTTCGCGTAGTTTCTGTATTTCTTTGCGTAGTTCTTGGCTTGTTTTTGGTTTTATAAAGAAATTGGTTGAAGGTCTACGATATCTGGTTTCTATATTATAAATTCAAATCAACCAATCAAAATGCAATTAGTAAGATGTTTTTATTTATTATTATTTAGTAAAAAATAGTTGATATATTTACGTGATGATTCTGGTGGTGTGTATGGTGGCGGTGGAAATTCAGGTACTGGTTGATTAAGACTATCTTTTAAATAAAATGATATTTATAAATATTGTTATTATGATTACTATTGTGACTATTATCATTACTAATTAATTTGCTTTATTTACCTGAACTAATATCATTGACGATAGATCTAGAGTTTTGATTTGTATTTATTGGTTGTAATGTAGTAGTGCTAATTGAAAATGATGATGAAGCAGCAGCAGCAACATTAGTATCAGTTGTACTGGTTGAACTTGAAGTATTAATCACGTTGTTGTGGTTGTTGTTGTTAATATCATTATTGTTATTGCTATTATTATGATTAGTATTATGGTTAGTATTATGATTAGTGCTATTATTGGCGCTACTATTATTGCTATGATTAGTGCTATTATTAATGTTACGATTAGTGTTACGATTGTTATTATTGGTTGTTAGTCCAGGTACAAATAATGGTATTGGTGTTGGTGTTCGTAAAGGCAGTTGTGGTGGCAGCAGTGGTGATAGTTTTGAAGAAGATGATGATGATGAAAATGTTGACGATGATGAAGTAGGTGGTGCAGCAGGCGATTCTATTGGTATCGCAAAACTTATTGTTTTAGCGTTTGTTCCACTCGTACTTTTCTTTTGCTGTTGATTATTATTTTGCAGAATGCTATTTTGCCAACTACTATTTTGCCGACTGTTATTTTGTAGAATGCTATTTTGGTGAATGCTATTTTGCCGATTGTTATTTTGCTGAATGTTATTATGCCGAATGTTGTTTTGTTGAATGTTATGTGATGATGACGATGAATGATTAATAATAGATAAAGATGATAAAAGTGAATGCTTATTACTCCTTTTATTTGATGATGGCAAAGAAGATTGTGAAACCATAGAAATTGGTCTTTGACTATTTCTATAAATAGAACCACTGGATGATATCCTTTTTCTACTTCTTTGAGATGGTTGTCGTAAAGGTTGCTGTAGCGTAGTAGAAGTTGTTTCACCAATTGATAATGTCATGTCATTATTATCATTATCATTATCATTATCATTATCATCATCATCATCATCTTCTTCTTCTTCTTCTTCTAAGAATGATGTTAATGATGATGATGGCGAAGATTCAAAAGGTGTTGGTAAATTTTCTTCTACATTTTCATTTTCATTTTCAACAATATTATTATCATCATTATTGTTGTCCTGGAAATTGAAATTTGTTAATGAACTTGGTTTTCTTAATATATTTTTATTTGGTAAAAATGATTCATTATCATCATCATTATTATTAGTAGAAGGATTAGAGGAATTAGAGTTGGAAGAATTTGTAATTGTTCTTTGATGATAATCCGAGACATTATCATTATTATTGGTTATTGATGATAATTGTTTTTGTTGTTGTTGTTGCTGTTGCTGCTGCTGTTGTTGTTGTTGTTGTTGTTGTTGTTGTTGTTGCGTGGTGGTGATATTATTACTAACATGATTGTTAACGATATTGGTAGCATTACTGCTACTATTGTTATTACTAACTAAACTAATGCTGCTATTATTATTACTATGATTAATGATAATATTTCCACCAGTAAATACATCAAACAACCTAGCTCTTATCATTTTAAATTCATCATCAGATATAAGAGATTTTTCAAGTGCATTATTTAATTCTATTAAGCGTTCTGTCAATGAAAAGTTCATTTTTTTGAAGCGAGAGAAAAAAAAATAGTTAAATTTGTTAATTGATCATCATTTAAATGTTTGTTTATGTTCACTTTTACAATTGTAAAATTCCTGATTGATTTGTGTCCCATATAACTTATATAACTTCTATAATTAGTATTAGGATTAATATTAATGCATGTGAGTTATAATAATAATGTGATGCTTTCGAAGTAATTCTTTCGAATGTTCGTTGAAATATTTGTAATACGTATATACTTGAATGAAAATATTTTTTTAAACAAAAGCAGATAATAACGATAATAATAACAATACCATATTGACAATTGAAGAGGCCAACTTGAATCTTTCATTAAAATCTTATCAAGTAGTAGAACATCAATCTACCTTGTATAAAATCTAAATGCATGGAAGGCTTTTGGAATTTAGACCAATCCTCAAACACGTAATTTGTAATGATTTCAAGTATTCATAATATTCATGTTTTCAAATACTCGTGATTAAGAATATTACATACTAACGGTATAATAATAAAGATGTTTTGTGGTGGCATTGAATATATTTATATTTAATAAATAATTGGTTGAATATTTTAATTATTAAAACTTCAAAAATTTATTAATAGAACTATAAACTAAACAATTAATTGAATTGACAATAGTTTCTACGTTTGCATATTTTTATTATTACATATACTCTCTGGATGGGATGGTCTAGAGAATTTGGTACTTTTACTTGACAATTCGATATGTTCCATATTAGAGTTAGGCTTTCGAATATTTGAGGTAAACACTACCTAGACGGATTGACAATTAAAATATATAATTAGGGTTTTTTTTGAACCTCTCAAAATCATTACTATTACTATTTGCTATTAAAAGTTAAAAATTGCTATAAAAATTATCTATTGGTGATACAGGACCCGGGTCCTCGATTATAGTAGTGTTGATTTTACCAAATTAAGCATAGTCGGTCCCTTGCTCTTTTCATTTTGTGCACAAAAGATCTGTTCGGACTAGAGCTTCGAATTAATTGAATATTCGAATATTCGAATCACATAATAGTAATAGTAATAGTAATAGTAGTAGTAGTAGTAGATGATAGTAAAATTCGAATTTTACATAGTAAAAAAAAAAAATTTATAATCGAATGTCTTACATCCTTGCTTGAGAGGAATTTCTCTACGAAAAAAAATGTGGGGACGGCCATCCTATTTATAATTTTTTGAATTAATAAAATATACTATTGTCTTGACCTGAGTGATGTCATTGTGTGTAAAAGACATGAAGCTCACTGTCACGTTTTCATTTAAAAACTTGTTTATATATTATTATTTATTTGGAAGGAATTAATGGCAATAATCCCAAATGGGATAATTCACCCAGACTGGGATATTAATTAATTAA